ACATAATATGAGCAATAACTAAAACATTAGCATTCGATAAATGTTTAACTAACATAAATCAATTCATATCCCATTTCAATTACATTACAAATGTGTCCATGTTTCATTTCACTTTCCATTTCTTATCCAAATTCTCAATTTATAACTATGGCTCAGAACCTGGCCAAACAATTTAAATGAGATTACGTCTCATATCAACAGTACTTCCATTTCACTTGAGATAACAACTCAAATTAAACACTTCCTACTTCACAATAGATACACATTAATGTTGTATCAATCTCAAACAAAACGCTTCCATACTTCATATATAATACACAGATTTGCTGTATCAATACTTCAATAGATACACATATTTGCTGTATCGATGGAGTCCATTCCCTATCTCCTCCCAAACAATATCCAGTTTAGGAGTCCATCCCCTATCTTCCCTTAAATCGTGGAGTACATCCCCTATCTCCGCTCACACAGTACAATGTATATAAACACATATCATATACATAATCAATCAATACATAAATTTGATGTATTATTCCAACCGTCATATTCGATGACATATTCAATTGATTAGTTTTAGTTTGCCTAATCATCATGCATTGTCTGCAACAATCAAGACTATCCTCCACAGATAGCCCAAAGCAATTATTTCTAAACAGAAAGTAATTACATCAACAGATAATTTATCAACAATTTTCAAAGGTGGGTGATTAATAAATCCAACTCCACTATTCCATCTCATATCATACCAATTTCATTATTTCCAACTCAATTTCATGACTCCATGATAAATGTCATTAATTACACTAATGACCCAAATATGCCCAAACATGGCGTTTTCCCCCTTTTTCCTAATATTGACCCCAAAGGTTCAAATATTGTCAACAACATTAATAATCTCTTTTTAAGACCCCAAATATATATATATATATATATATATGAGTCAAAAAGACAAAACCCCTCTTTTTCAATATAACACATTACAAACCCTAACTTCCCAAACCAAACCATTTATACAAAAAGCCCTACATTTATATTAAAGATCATAAAGATGAGTAGGAATCCCTACCTCAAGAGATGAAACCAATGGGGATGATGGAGAAATCTCGAAATGCTCCAAACTAAGAAATTTTCGGATGGGTAGGTTGCTCTCAACAAGCTCTGCACCTTTTACAAAGACACTAAAAGAGTGAATCACTCTAACTAGATCAAACCCTAGAGAGAAGGTAGATTCTAGAGAGAGGAGCTCTCAAAAGAGGTTTTTAGAAAGTAAGAGAGAGTGTGTGAAAGTGAAAAAGTGATCTAAAAAGACCCAGCTGATATCTGATATACGTATGACCCGCTCGAGAGGAGAATAGGACGCTCGAGCGTCAAGCACAAAAACTGGACCCGCTCGAGCGCCAAGACACAACTACAAAACACACCCGCTCGAGCGCAAAGGGAAAGCCGCTCGAGTGTAGATTTTCTCCTTCCAATACTTTTACAGACAATGAACTACCAGCTCGAGCGCCAAGATACCCGCTCGAGCGTGACCCGCTCGAGCGTAAGAAAATCCGCTCAAGCATGAAAAACACACCTGCAGAAGTTTTGCAGAGGTATGAAATGATGAGAGTGTGTAAACCCTGCTCGAGCGCAAGAATACCCGCTCGAGCGGACAACCAAAAAAATATCAAACTCTGCTCGAGCGCAAAGGGACCCGCTTGAGCGTACCACCAAAATTTTGGGCAACAAGGAATGGGGCAAAAGCTCAGCCAACCTGTTCGAAACACGCCCAATACATCCTAAAACTCAAACACACGACAATTAAAGGATAACAACAAGATATACAACCACCAACTCCACGGAACCTAAGTCTGGAATACAACAATCAAAGGAAGGGAAACCAGGATCGCTATAACCTCCCCCTCTTATATAATTTCGTCCCCGAAATTAAGTACAAGTTTTTCAAAAACATGATTTTCTCAATTCTCAACAGTATTACAACTCAATATTCAACAACCTGACCCATTACCGGTCATTCCATCTCTATTCAAGAGGCATTTCACAATATATACTCAATATGCATTATTAGCATGCTTTCCAATAATTTTAGTAGGCAAAACTAACTATACAGCAACTAAAATATGTTTTAGTTGCTGAAAATAAATATTTGGCGACCAAACTTTTGGTCGCAAAAGATAAAAAATAAATTTTTGTTTTTCATTTGGCGACTAAATAATTTTAGTAGGCAAAACTAACTATACAGCGACTAAAATTTTATTTAGTCGCTAAATAAAAATTTTTGGCGACGAAACTTTTAGTCGGCAAAAATAAAAGTAAATTTTTGTTTTCTATTCAGCAACTAAATAAATTTAATAGCCAAAAGTAACTATACAACGACTAAAATAATTTTTAGTCGCTGAAAGTAAATTTTTGGAGACCAAAATTTTGGTCGCCAAAGATAAAAAGTAAATTTTTATTTTTCATTCAACGACTAAATTATTTTAGTTGCCAAAACTATTTGTACAACGACTAAAATATTTTTTAGTCGCTGAAATTAAATTTTTGCCGACCAATATTTTGGTCACCAAAGATAAAAAGTAAATTTTTAGTTTTCATTCAGCGACTAAATTATTTTAGTTGCCAAAACTATCTATACAGCGACTAAAATATTTTTTAGTCGTTGAAATTAAATTTTCGTCAACCAATATTTTGGTCGCCAAAGATAAAAAGTAAATTTTTATTTTTCATTCAGCGATTAAATTATTTTAGTTGCCAAAACTATCTATACAACGACTAAAATATTTTTTTGTCGCTGAAATTAAATTTTTGCCGACCAAATTTTTGGTCACCAAAGATAAAAAGTAAATTTTTATTTTTGATTTAGCAACTAAATTAGTTTTGTTGGCAAAACTATCTATACAACAACTAAAAATAAATATTTTGCCACCAATCTTTTGGTTGCAAAAAATTAAAAGTTAGATTTTATTTTTCATTCGGCGACTAAATAATTTTAGTAGCCAAAACTAACTATACAACGACTAAAATATTTTTTTAGTAGCCAATTGTGGTAAATTTAGCGACTAAATTTTTTTTTAGTCGCCAATAATCAATATACCCTGACTACAAAAATTTAGTAGCTAAATATTGTACTTTTACTGACTAACATAATTTCTGGTCGCCAATTCCACAGCTTTTGGCGACCAAAATATTTTTAGTCGGCAAAAGTGGTCGCCAAAAGTGTATTTTCTTGTAGTGTCTCCTACTCATTTGGAGGTTATGAGAAGTTATGAATCATTAAACACATGTGAAAAGATGATGGAGAATGTGAAGGATCATGGAGCATGAATTGAAGGTCAAAGGAAGTTATGGAGACATAAAGATGAAGTGGAAGATCATGGAGTGTGAAGTGTGAGAAATGGAAGAATGTGGTAGTTATTAGGTAGTTTTTTCTCTACAAATGTTTGCCTATAAATAGCCATTCATAGGTACATTGTTGAAAGACCTAGAACTCAAATCAAAGACAATTGATTTCTATTTTTTCTTGTCATTTATACTTCCTGCACTTTATTTTCAACACTTCCTTTTGAAACATAGAAGTAGAGGTAATTTTATGCACTTCCCTTTCAAAGCATAGGAGTAAAGGTAATTAATTATTACTTTAATTGTTCATTCAATCATCTTTTTTCGTCTCCTTCCCTCTTCTTTTAATTTTTCTTTTTCTACATTTGACAATTTTGAAGTCCTCTTCATTGAGGCAAAAAAACATTAACATAATCACTTGATAATTGACTTGAATTTAATTTGTAATCCTTGCTGGCATGTTCGTATTTATGGTATTTTCTTTCGTAAAAAAAATAAGCCAACAGTGGGACGTCAAGTGTAAAAATTGAAAAATGAATTAGATTCGTCCATTCTAAATAGCTTAGATGAATTCCTTTGGTGTAAATAAAAAATTCTGGGTCTTTAAGAAGAGAGCCATTTTTTTATGAAACAACTTCCATTTATTATAATATTATTTGGTGGAAGAAAAAAGACACGATTTAATTGGAGAAATTCATGAACTTGATAAGGAAGTTCGCCAATGGAATGATGAATTGTCAACTCTCACTACCAAGCCTTTAATCGAGGCTTTAATGGCTGGTATTGGTGAATTTTTTTCAGAATTCTTTCATTATTGAAAATGGCAAAAGGAAAGAGTTGATTTCATCTATGGCTTGGGGGGTTAAAAAAACTCATTTTTAAAGAGCCAACTTATGAAAATAACATGGCTAAAAAGGCTATTGTTGAGCCAAATATGGTTAAAAACGATGTTCCATATAAAGCTTAGGGGGTCGAAAAACTCATTCTTAGAAAGTCAAGCCATGGAAATAACATGTCTATGGAGGATTTTCATAAGCCATTAATTACTAAAATAAAATAATAATAATAAAAAAGCCCATTTGTCAATGAATGATGAAAGTTATTTGGCCAAAGAACATGTTCTTAGACCAAACGTGATTAAAAATGATGATCAACCCACTGTTGATGGATTTAAAATATTTGACATTGTTGAAAATGTCAAAGCATTTGAATTTCCAATGCTATATTATGCCATGACTTTCGGTGTTCAAAACCTATTTTGGATTTGTAAGCTGCATCAAAATTTAATTTTGATTAAATGGCTAATAAAACAATCATCTTTTAAGTATTGTTCTTTTAAAGCTTCTAAAATATGTCGTGAGCACCCTTGGAGCAAGGTTTTGGTTCTTTTTTTAATAAAATTGAATCATGTTAAAAGAAACTTCGAATGCGTGTCTCCCTTCGAATACATTAATTAATTGCCAAATATGGTCTAAATTGATATACAACCCTTTTATGAATTTGAGGTTTCTCATTTTGAAAGAGTTGAGGGGGTAATGTTGGCACCATAAATAATTAATTTTTATTATTAGTTATTATTTATATAATTGCAGGACATGTGGCACCCTCCTACTCATTTGGAGGTTATGACAAGTTATGAATCATTAAACACATGTGAAAAGATGATGGAGAATGTGGAGGATCATGGAGCAAGAATTGGAGGTTAAAGGAAGTTATGGAGACATAAAGATGAAGTAAAAGATCATAGAGTGTGAAGTGTGGGAAATGGAAGAATGTGGTAGGTATTAGGTAGTTTTTTCCTACAAATGTTTACCTATAAATAGCCATTCATGGCTACGTTGTAAAGGGGCCAGAATTCATAATCAAAGACAATTGATTTCAATATTTCTTGTCGTTTTCCTTGTCTTAGGAGTAGTTTATATATATATATTTTGTCATTTATATTTCCTGCACTTTGTTTTCAACACTTCCTTTTTGAAGCATAGAAATAGAGGTAATTATATGTACTTCCTTTTCAAAGCATAGGAGTAGAGGTAATTAATTGTTACTTTAATTGTTCACCCAATCACCTCGATTGTTCACTCAATCATCTTTTTTCGTCTCTTTCATTCTTCTTTTAATTTTTCTTTTCTCTACACTTGGCAATTTTGAAGTCCTCTTCATTGAGGCAAAAGAACGGTCAACACAATCGTTTAATACTTGGCTTGAATTTAAACTATATGGATTTTTTAATCCTTGATGACACGCTCGCATGTATGGTATTTTCCTTCGTAGGAAAAATAAGCCAACAATAACTAAAAGAATATACGAGTTATAACCAAATATCAATATAACTAAAGAATTTTTTTATCATAACCAAAATATTATCATAATCAATATTACAATGAATCATAACTAAAACTCCAATGGTTTATAATCAAAATCACAAAAGTCGTAACTAAGTGTGTACCATAGAATTCTCCAAATACTGATTGCTTAGAATATGCATATTTTTAATTTGCTTGTATCAATACAAAATATGCTTTACATATATAATTACTAAAATTTATTTACAAAGATTAAGAAGGTCAGAGATTACCAAAATACTTGGACCGTGTTGCTGAGAAGAGTAGAGCTCCCAAGGCACTAACAAGAGTAGGTTGCAAAGCCCAATTTCGCATACGGTATGATGCAGATACTGGTGAAGGGGGAAAGTATGTTGTGACTCACTTCGTCGCAGACCACAACCATGAATTGGCGGAACAACACTGTGTGATGTATCTGAGGTCACATCGCAGTTTAAACAGCTCTGACAAAGCTCAAGCAATGGCTATGCGCAACGTTGGTGTGAAGACTAACCAAATCATGGACTATATGGTAAATCAATCCGGGTCTTATGAGAATGTTGGTTTCATCCGTATGGATCTGCACAACCATATTCAAGTAGAACGTAGAGCAAAAGTTGAGGATGGTGATGCGCACGGTGCGTTGGTTTACCTATATGCAAAACTTGATGTTGGTGCACGTTTTTTTTACAAGTATGATATGTACAAGGATAACAAGTTACAAAATTTGTTCTGGGCAGATTCGAAATCGCAGGCTGACTACGCAAAGTTTGGTGATGTGTTGATATTTAACTCAACTTACAGAACCAATACGTACAAGAAACCTTTTGTCATGTTGGCTGGTGTGACTAACCGCTTTAGGACCACGATATTTGCATGTGTTTTTGCTAGCTAATGAGACAATTGATACATACACATGGGTTTTGGAAACATTTATGGAAGCAATGGGCAATAAAGCACCTGTGTCCATACTGACAGACGGAGATAAGGCGATGCGAGAGGCAATCAGAAGAGTATTTCCAAACACAAGACATCGATTATGTAATTGGCATATTGGGAAAAATGTTGTTTCAAATGTTCACAAAAGTGGCTTTGCACATGCTTTCAAGCAGTGCATGGACATGGAAACGGATAAAGCAAAGTTTGAGCATGGCTGGACGAGAATGGTCGAAAAATTTGGACTGCAAACCAACAGTTGGGTGTTGGAGACATATGAGAAGCGTCATATGTGGGCTGAGGCATATATGCGTGGACATTTCTTTGCTGGGATGAAGAGCACTCAGCGCTCGGAGAGTATAAATGCTTATTTCAATCCCTTTCTCCAACATAAGTTAAAGCTATATGAATTTGTTAGGCACTATGATCGGGCTCTTGCCAGGATAAGGTATAACAAGGCTGGAGATGATGCTGAAACAAATAACACTTTTCCGGTATTAATTACTCCATTGTGAGATATAGAGAGACATGGAGCAGAGTTATTCACCCAAAATATATTTAGAATGTTCCGTGATGAAATCTTAGAAAAGGGGAAGTTGAATGTGAACGACGTGTTCCCTTTGTCAGATGGTCAGAAATGCTACTATATTCATAAGTACAAGGTGAAGGATAGATCATAGATAGTAACACACAATCCAGTGGATGCTGCAATGAGATGTTCTTGCATGAAGTTTGAGTCATTGGGGCTACCTTGCTGTCACATGATATGTGTTATGAAAGCCGAAAATTTAACGCAAATTCCCCTAACTTGTGTGCGGCATAGATGGACAAGGGCTACAAACAAGGATGACCAGCAATGGCCTCAACCCTCAATTGATAGCACTACAACACAGACAGCTCGATATGGGATATTGAGTTCTTCCTACAATAAAATGTGTTTCTATGCCTCACAATCAACGGAAGGTTTCAAAGAGGCTAGAGATGCATGTCTTCCGATGATGAGCCGGATGAAGGAGTTATATAAGAGGAATCTGAACGATGGGGATGAAGAGAAAGGGAAACATTCAATCCCACGACAATTTGGAGTAGAAGATCCTGATCTTGTGAAGACAAAAGAGGACCCGGGACGGGGCCTCGTCCAACTGTCAAAGACCAAAAAAATGTGGGAATTGCCAATGCATTGGGCACACAAAGCGAACGTGTCCTAAGGTTCGGTTTAGCCGAACAGTGGGTAGTAACTCAGATGCAGATACAACCCACATCACTGACCATGAGTACAATGCAGAGTCATTGTCCATTCGTTGCAAAACTGGGTTGGTGGATCCAAGTACACCGCACATTAAGAAACGACGAATATTTTTCAATGTTTTTCCTGATTCCAAACAGCCTGTGGGCCAATACGGTAGTGTCGAAGCAACAATGTGCAAAAATGATTCGACCACAATTGATGAGGTGAATCAGGTAATTGTATAATTTGTATGATATACTTATTCCCTTAATTTATTAGGTAGACGGTACTAGCTATTGAAAACACATCATTGCGAAGAACAAGGTAGATATGTATATAATTTTCATTTTGCACGGATTGCTGTACGTAACGTACAATGCCAGAAAATGACACAACGTTACTTATGTACAAGGCCACTATTTGTAAATTTCCCATATTGTTTAGGGTGATGTTGTCATTTGTGTTTGCAGTGACTTGTCATTTTGAAAACTAATTGAAGGTGAGATATATATGGGTTGTATGTGTATTGTTTTGGGTTGAAAATTGGCTTATGTCTGTATTCCAAGATTCCTATTGCGGGTTGCTTGTTTCTGTTCCATATTTGGTTGGATGTAACTGAAGGGTTTTTTGCGGTGTGGTTTATCAACTAACGATGTGTTTGGCTTTGTATTGATTTGTTATGACTTGTTTCGATAAATTAGTATTATATTTCAAGTAAAATACGAATTTTGTCCATGTGGTTTTGCAAAATTACATCCCAGCACATGCATTTTGTATATAATCCAAGTGACAGTTAATTTTGGGTGTTACTTGGAGAAAGTAACCCAACGAACTCGTTTACTTTATCTCTATGCCGATTGCTATATGAATTACGAGTTATGAATAGGAGTTGTGAAATTATTTCATATTAACTATGAAAGTGGATTTATTGTTAGTGAAATTATGGTCAACCTATATCGACAGCAACCAAGTAGTAATTTAAAGTTGACAAGTTAAAGAAGAAAATCAAGCAATTGTGTTATTAGTTCGAATGCCTGAAAAGGATGAAGATTTCTTTCGATGAACTGATGGTAACAAAGTAAACAAGTAAAATGAACTTTCTGAAATGAGCTGATGGTAACAAATCGTAGAAGATAAACTTTTGCTGATTTGAGGTTGAAATCACCAAAGTTCACCCAGTGACAAAGTACAAATGAGAAGGGAAAAAACTACTCAGAAGTTACAATGTAGAAAGTAAGTTGTTGTGTTGTTGTTCATGTCCTCTCTCTCTCCAAACCTTCTGCCCTTTATAGCTCTTATTTCCCGCAACCCCATGATCTGCTGAATCTGCAACTACTTTTGTGCAACTTCTGTAACTGCACGGTCATTTCCATGTCTTGAAACCACATAAAACCTTCACTTGTACCTGTTGAAGTGCATATCATTGAAGTTGCCACTTGTGCCCAAGTCCTTTTAGCCTTTCCTCGACAGATACAGACTCCCAATTGGTTCATGCTTCCTCTTGCAGGCTGGCCACTAAATCCATGAGCATTGCCAGTAACTGCTCTACCGTGTAAGTCAGGTGGCATACAAGATTCAATGTTAGTTGATAACCCTTGTCTTCAGGTGGACTTGCCATGTGTCCTCAATTAAATAGAGCAGCTATTGGCAGGATGTAGGAAAAATAGGTGCAAAGAGGAATTTTTTAAAAGTAACCAATCATAATTTAGCTGAAAATATGAGTGAACCTTTTTTAAAAAAAAAAGGAGTTTCCATTTTTTTGATTATAAACCCGAGATGTATATTTTGTTTTCGATATAAATAAGTTGTGTATTGTGATTATGTAAAATGTAGGATAACAATTGTTTTTAAAAAGGTTATTTCAAATATTAACAAGTTTACCGACATTGAATATATTGATTAAATTACAGGGAAAATTCAATATTTGGCAGAGTTTGATGATTCAAAGTCAGGGGGCAGTTACAGTGATTGGCCAAGTGTTGTGGTTCAGTGGCCCAGTTTGCAAGGATTGTGGTTGTGTTTAGTGGACAATATTATGTCGATTTTTGTCTCATAATGATGAGGGACATGCCCTACAATGGTGAAAAGGAAGGTCGACAGGGAATAGTCAATATTTGGCAGAGGGGACTTGAAAATTCAAAGTGAGGGGGCAGTTACAGTGGCAGTTATGGTGGTGGACTTGTGATGATGGGCCACAAAAACAGTATACGGATATCAAAACCAACCATCTCCCTTCTAGGCTCTCCAAATATACTAAACCTCCACTTTTGTCTGTCAATCTCCCATTTCTTCTGTTTATTTCATGGCCACCAAATGTTTGAAACTTCTGTCGACAGTGCAAGGCTCCAACTTTGTCGAATGCTTCCTCCTGAAAGTGTGCCCACTAACTCCATGACTGGTGCTAAAAATTGCCCCCATCACTTGTAGGTGACCCACATGTAGGAACCCACTTTAAACTGGTGGACATTCCTTCAGACTTGGCTACGTGTCCTCCATTAAGTGGACCATCTGGGGAAGTGATTGACCCTCTCCAATCACCACCGCCACCACCCCCCACACACAAATGGGGGCTGGTGATTGGAGAAAAAGGAGAAAAAAAAAACTAGCTAATTAGAGAGAGAGGGGGTCATAGGGGTGCCCCCCTTGTGGGGGTCCAAGTCATATGATATTTAACTTGAACAAGGGGGCCACCGTTTGGGCCCAATTTATTTGTCTGAGCCCAAGAGATAAGTCCAATAGCAAATTTCTTAATACGGGCCCAAAACAAATATAAAGTACAGCCCAATATAAGAGCATTTAAATATACAGGCCCCATCATAAGCTATAAAAGACACACATTTTCAACTTCAAACCACTTCATTTCCCTCTGATTCGAACTCCTCAAACTGTACTCCTTCTTATCAAGCATTGCCGTTCAAAACCACAGCACCACAAAACCCTAAGCCATGGTGCCCAAAAAATCTCAACCATCTCCATCTGAAGAGAACAATGAAGACCTACTCCGCTTCCCAGACCCTATCAGAGCACGTATTGCTTCTCTAAAATTAGGTATTACCCTATTGCCTAGCACAAGCTCTGTCCCTAAGGCTACTCTAGGCCCTACATTCACGTCTTACTTCCCAGATAAGCTAGCTCCATACTATCCCCTTGGTAATGGTGAGAACCTTCTTCTCAACCAACCTAGACTTAAGTGGACTAACTGGAATGTCAGCAAAAACCCAGTCAGAGGCTGGAGGTCACCAGACTCTGTTTGGCAAAGCTAGGCCAGGAGAATTGAAGGTCACGACTCTGAAGTATGGAAGCACCAGGGCATTAGTGAAGCAATTAAACTGTCGACCAAGAAATATGACATGGACAAAGGGCTGATTGCTGTTGTTACATGCTTTTGGTCGCAATCTTGTAACTTTTTTCTCCTCAATTTTGATATGATTTCCCCTACCATCTTAGATACAACTCATTTGACTGGTCTCCCAATCTTGGGCAATGAAATTCATGCTCTCCTTGAGCCTCTAAAAGTGAGCTTTACTTTAAACACTGATATGAGCTATACAGATTTCGCCCAGAAATATAAAGGGAAGCTTGGTTCCCCTGTAAAGGATCAAGAAAGAGCTGATTTTTACTTACATTGGCTTTGTAAATTTCTTTTTTGTGTCCCTGGGTTCAAGATCACCAACGAGTACCTCCCCCTTGCCTTGTGTATGCAAGATGGCCAAGCCATGGCTTTAACCCCT